TGGGTTGTGGTGAATAATGAGCACAGGAAGTGCACCCAGGAGCTGCTTACACACAGGACTCCCCAAAACCAAACCCAGTACTATAATCACATGCCAGCTAGATACTGGGTTTGTGGGATTTATTTTATTATATAAACTGACACATGTTGTTATATTAGTCATCACTGCATCACAAATTACCTCAAAACTTTTAAGTTAAACAGTAGTGAAAGTTGTCATTCATTCTGTGTGGGGTCCGGAATTTGGGAGCAACTAAGGCTCTGATTGGAGTCTCATGAGTTTGTAGTCAGGATTGACTGAGGCTGAAGGATCTGTTCCAGGGTGGCTCACTTCCAGGACTTTCAGGAAGCTTGTTGCTTGCTGGTTGTGAAAGAAGTGTCAGTTGTTTATCTGATGTCAGCATACCACAGTTGCCAGCTTCCCATGTAAGATATAGTGAGATGGAAGCTTCAGTTTCCTGACCCAGCCTTTGAAGTCTCACTTGGCCTTACAGCAGTCCTGTGGTGTTCACACATGCCAGCCTTGTTCAGTACAGAAGGGACTGACAAGGGAGCACGTGAACACTGAGGCAGACCTCTGCGAGGGCCATCTTGGAGGCTGGCTGATGCAGTTACGCATTTTAAAATATACTTAACAATAAAAACTTTTAGAGACAATCTTAAGTGGAAAAGCTTATTTTCCTGTTGTAATGATACAGACATCCATTTAACTGAAAATTACTGCAAGTACTGCATGTGTTACCAGTCGGTATGAGGTGGAGGGATGTAGATGATGTACCACCAGGTACCTGGGCGGCAGGTCTTTTGGCAGGCCAGTGAGTTAATGAGGCTCAGTAATTCTTTACTAGGATATATGATGTGGCGTTGGGATAATATGTGCCTAGACTTCATTCTCCCTGTAGCTGGCAAAAATCTGGGACTCCTGATTTTGAAGAGAATTCTCCAGAACAAGGGCCAACTTTCTCTCAAGACTATGTTTAATGAGAATGGAGTCCATGCTTCTGTCCCCACCCCAACACCTAAGGGCAAAGCTACAAATGACATAGGCCAGTAAGGATAGTGCTTCAGCTTACACATTTATGCCATCATAGCACTGTACTCCCTAATCTATATTTGTTTCATATGAACAACTTTTCCATTATTAATTCCTTTGCCTAACCTTCCCTTTCCAAACTCTAAGCAACATTGATGTTTCTGGAAGGTACATCACATGTTTTCCTATTTGTCTTGAGTAGCTGTAGGTATACCTGCCTGGTGAGTATTTCTAAGGGCCCAAGTGGCCCAGTTTTTTTTTCTTTTAATTTTTTTTTATTTTAAAAGTAAAAGGAGGAAAACATTAACAGGCAACCTTTTACAAAATAGCAAAAGAACAGTACAGACAATACAGAGTTACAAACAAAGTGGTAGGAAATTAACAATGCTTGTTGTATTACGTATTGATAGTGGTTTCTCATGAAAACAGGTACAGACATGCAATATTGATCAATCAAGGACTCATTGACAGTTTCTTTCAGCAAAGAAATAGAAGACGGTAGAATGACTATGTTCATTATCCTGTATAATAAAATTTCTCCTTCTTTCCCTTCTCTTTTCCCACATCCCAGTTGCCCTTTACCCTGGAGTGTTTTCCTATCATTTCACAATGTCTATCATCCCTCCTAGTTTAAATGAACTCTTTCAGGTTTTACACTACTGAAACAATGTAGTGCTTACACATGCAGGTCTGATTTATTTCATTTATGAGTATGGTCTCTAGTTGTGACCATTTACCTATAAATACCTTGAGTTTATCTTTCCTTATAGCTGAGTAGTATTCCATTCTATAAAAGTACCACAATTTTCTTATCCAATCCTCTGTGGATGGACATTTGGGCTGCTTCCACAATTTAGCAATTACAAATTGTGTTGCTATGAACATAGGTGCACATATATCGCTGTGATATGATGTTTTGAGATTTTCTGGGAAAATACCCAGAAGGGGAATAGCTGGGTTGAATGGGACCTCTAGACCTAGTTTTCTGAGGAATCTCCAAACTGCTTTCCACAGTGGTTTCACCAGTCTGCATTCCCACCAGCAGTGGAGAAGGGTTCCTGTTTCTCCACAGCCTCACCAGCATTTGTTGTTGGTTGATTTCTTAATGCTAGCCATTCTTACTGGGGTAAGGTGGAATCTCAGTGTTGTTTTAATTTGCATTTCTCGAATGACCATGATGTTGAACATTTTCTCATGTATTTATTTGCCATTTGTATTTCCTTATCTGAGAAGTGTGTATTCATCTCAGCCGCCCATTTTTGGATTGGGTCTTTGAATTGGGGGGGGGTGGTACTGATATTTTTAAATTCTTTATACGTTCTAGATAGAAGCACTTTGTCTGAGGGACAGTCAGCTAAACTTTTTTTCCAATTTGTGGGTTTTCTTTTTACTCTGCTGGTGATTTCTTTAGATGTGCAGAAACTTTTCAGCAGGATGAGATCCCAGTTGTTGATTCTTTCAAGTGTTTCACGTGCAATTTGGTTTTTGTTCATGAACTCTCTGCCTACCCGTATGTCTTCAGGGTTTTTACCTACTTTCTCTTCCAATAGATTTAGTGTTTCTGTTTTAATATTGAGATCTGTGGACCATTTTGACTTGAGTTTGGTGCATGGTGATAGGCTTGGGTCTATTTTCAGTCTTTGACAGGTAGCAAGCCGAGTTTTCCAACACCATTTATTAAAGAGCCTATCATTCCTCCAGTGAGTTTGTTTGGCCCCTTGATCAAAGATTAGGTGGCTGCGTGTGTTTTTGGTTGTGGCTGTTTTTTTTCCAGCCTGTTCCGTTGATCCTCAGGTCTGTGTTTTAGCCAGTACCATATTGATTTTATGACAGTAGCTTTGTAGTATAATTTCAGGTCAGGGATTGTGATTCCACCTGACTTGTCCTTGTTGCCCAGGATTGCTTTTGCTATTCTGGGTCTCTTCTGGTTTCAGATGAATTTAAGGCATGTTTTCTCTAGACCTGTGAGGTATGCTAATGGTAGTTTAATGGGAATTGCATTGAATCTGTACAGCAGTTTTGGGGGTATCCAAGTGGCCCAGTTTGTGAGGCAGTGAATCACACTGTGTCTCCTTTGTGGATTCCAACATCCTTGGAGCAGACATTCCAGGCTTCCTCAGGTGAGGAAGCAGTCCTCATTAACTTAATCAAGTTAGTGAGTAGAGGAGACAGAGTTGGAGGCCAGGTGTAGGTGCCCCCAGGCCAGCTTCCTCAAGTTTTTATTTGCCAGCACTTGCACGTTAAGCATCTAAACCTCCAAACCTCTTTGTGTGCAGAATTTTGGATATGAGAGGGTGAAGAGCTTCTTTGGCCATCATGTGGAGCCACCCCATTCTCCCCTGTAGTGTTGCTGCTTTTATGTGTATTTGTGAAGCTTATACTTATGCCATTAGATTTTATTTTTGCGTTTTATAAAAATGAAAATTTTCAGCAGCGAGAGATAACTGCATTTGGTTATGATAAAGATAAATATCACCAGGGGTACACTGTAGTGCTTGTTGTTCTTTACATTAGTTGGCCAACAGTGAGAGACAGAATGAGAGGAGAATATGCCACAGATACCTTAAGGGTTATTGTCTGTACAAGAGAAGTTCAATTACTAGTAGTAATTATAGTAATTGGTAGTGATTGTAGCATTAATGGTAATGTTATGAATGACTCTGAATGTATTCTCTCAGCACCCACCTCTGACCCTCTCATATGAATGTCTTGTTTGGCCTTTTGGCTCTGGGGTTTGTTTTCAGGAGAGCATCATGTCTGTGAGGGGATGAGAGAGCAGGTTCATCTGTATCACCATATAGACCCTGAGCCTGAGGTCAGAAGATATAAGTAGAAACTTCATTTCTGTTGTTTTCTAGTTGAATGTCCTTGTCATACATCATCTTTGGCACTTAGCTCCCTTCCCTGGAATATTGGCTCAGCCTACCTCACAGGACTATGGGGAGGATCAAATATACTTGACAACACCAGAGCAGAAGGTACGGGATGTCAGTACAAATACGACTTCCCGGCCATGGTGCCACTTTGCTGTATAGCATGTAAGGTACTAAATCTGGTTACCTTTGCTTAGAAGGCTGTGAGGAGATATAGTAGTTTCGGAATGTGTGTGTGTGTGTGTGTGTGTGTGTGTGTGTGTGTATAGATGCCTTCTATCTGTGGTCTCAGAAGTCCAAGGTCAGAGTTTAGCTCAGGTTATTGTCCCTCCTGAGTGGATATTTGGGCTATATCACTGCCCCGAAATTGCTGTGAACTAAAAGAAATTCACTGAGGCAAATGTGGAGGTCTGAGGTGAAGTTTTTTTTTTTTTTTTAATTTTAAAAATAAAAGGGGGGAAACATTAACAGACATACAACATTTTACAACATATCACAAGCACAGTACAGACAATACAGAGTTACAAACAAAGTGGTAGGGAATTAACAATGGTTGTTGAATTACATACTGATATCTTCAAAGTGGCTTCTCATGAAAACAGGAGGTGAAGTTCTAATGCATGAAAGACCTAAAGTATGGCGTGATGACTGCAGTTAATGATTCAGGTTTTATATTTGACATTTGCTAAAGTAGGGTATTTCAGGTGGTCACAGTACAAAAACGAAGGTACTGTAATGTGAAGAGATTGATATGCTAATTAGCTTCATTGTGGTAATTGTTTCACAGTATATATGTATATCAAAACATTGCACTGTGTATACCCTAAGTATGTGCAATAGGAAAAAGAAAGAAACTTACTGAGGGAGCCCTCTTTTCCTGAAGTTCCTAGAATGGGTGAGGCTGACAGTTGTTTCCCATATTTTTTCTCTTTTCACTTCATGTGTGAAAATTGTGATTGTTTTTTCTTCTGTTTTTACTTTTCAGTATTTTAATCTAGAGGCTTGCTGTATATTAAATACATTTTATCAACTGAAGTATCATTAACTAAAAAAAAAATACTTGGTAATAATGTGTTGGTTTGCTTCTTCCTGCAGGGTGAAGGCAGCATGAGTGATCCCTGAATGTGCCCTTGAGCATACTTAATGGTTCATTTTTGATTAGGAGAAAGAAGACAGCCATTCCCTTGAAAGTGAGTAAAGATTTGCATGCAGCTTTTCACTATAAAATTTTTTAAACATAGAAGAGTTTAAAAAGGCTGCTGAGCATGTGACTCATGCCTGTAATTTGAGGATCACCTTGAGCCCCAGGCCAGCTGGGGCTACATAGTGAGCTCAAGGCCAGCCTGAACTATGTAGGGAAATCCTGTCTCCAAAAACAAAACAAACAAGCAAACAAAAAAACCCAAACAAACAATGAAACAAAACAAAACAAAACTAAAGAACAAAAAAAAGAAAAGCAGAAATAGTAAATTTTCATGTATTCACTACCTAGCTTTAATAGTTGTTAGCATTTTGCTACATTTTGTGTGTAGGTTTGTACTTTTTGCTGAAATATGTGAAAATTACAGACATTGTGGCATTTTCTCCTAAATTTATGGGGGATACAGTTCCTAACAATAGTGATATTTTCTCTTGAGAGACATTTCAGAACATTTAGAAACTATGACACAGAATCATTATGAACAGTTTTCTGTTAAAGGGTATAACTTTGAGCTGTGTTCCCTTCATGTAACAAAAATAGAGCCAAAATTTTAAAAAATTTAAACAAAGATGTAAGTAATGGACACTATAAATTTGATATGAGAAACATCTGAAAAGGTGTGGAATTTGCCCTGAGAGAGGAATTGCTGTGCTTCCTTCATTTTTGTGATTTGCTGATGTTTTTACATTGGGTCCGTGGACCTGATTACTATCCTTGCCCTAGTCCTGATTGACATTGACTAAGTAGGCCAGTCTCTGTGATCTATTTTTTTTTTTTTTTTGTCTTTTCTCCGGTACCGGGAACTGAACTCACGACCTTGCGCTTGCCAGGCAGGCGCTTTGCCGCTGAGCTAAATCCCCAGCCCCTCAGTCTCTGTGATCTAATGTGATCAAATGTCTCAACTGATTTTTTAAAAAAAAATTAAACTTGCAGAAGAATGTGGAAAGATTGATTGGCAATGTGAAGTTGAGGTTAATATATTAAAATTAACATTAGGGAGATTAAAAATGCTTTCCAACTCTATAATTTGACTATCTGAATTGCAATTCTGCATAAAATCTGACAGATATGCTTGGCTATGATTATGATTGTAGATCATTACTCTTTATTGTCAGGATCAGTTATTGGTTCTTGAAGGGTAGCTGTGGAATGTTCTATATCCCAGTCTCAGTTTTGATACTTGTCTCAAGTGGTCCCTGTGTGTGCAGGTATTTCTTTATAGGCATTTGGGAGCTAGGGTTATACATTTTGAGCATAGTTTAAAAGAATTCTATTTAAGTTTGCCAATTAGGACTCTTAACACTCTGTTTTTGAGATTCAAACAAAGGATTAATGATGGCAAAGTGTCTTTGAAAGATGTATTCAGAATGAGCTATGTCTGGAGTCCTAGGACTGTTGGAATGATCTGGGTTGCTTTTTTGTTCTTTGCTGTTTATGTGGTTGTGCTTTGAAAAGAAGTGAGTGGAGACTCCGCCTGAGGCAAAGGGGCTTTGAAAGATGGGTTCAGAGGAGGTTTTTCTGAATGTGGTGTGTTCAGCATTGTTTAGATGGGGAGTAATTTTTAAAAAACTCTATGAAGAAGTAGAACATACCTACAGAAAATACGTATTTTATAAATATATACCTCAATATAATCTCATAAGGTGAATATACCCATGTAAACTGCACCCAGATTAAGAAACAGCATTAGCTATACAACTTCATCCTTCCTACGCACTATTCTGCTTCCTGCATGGAAAACTACAGGCATGAATTAATTTTGCCTGTTTTTCTTTCGTGCGTATATACAATGTATAATGCAGATTGTACTTCTAGTGTCTGGCTTTTCTCATTCAACAGTGTATTAGATTCCTCTCTACTGTTGCATAGTGTTATAGTTTAGTTTCATTGTTATACAGCATTCCATGAGACTATCTCAATTTAGGTAGTCTGCTAGATGCAGGTTTTAGGGGGTTTACCTGCCACAGTCACTGTCCAGCCAAAATGGGGATTAACCAAGGTTTTATCCTTACCTTGGTCACAGTGGAGGTAGTCTTAGGTTGTTCAACCTCTGCCAGCTTCTGTGATGATATGAAGGAGTCCTAACATCTCATAGAAGATGGAGACTCACGTGGGAAATCTGTGTGTGGTTTCTTCAGTCCTGTAAGGAGTCCTGCTGCTCTCCTCATGACTTGTTTTGCCCCTTTTACCTTGTTCCTTGCTGGTACCTGTCTTTTATATCCTCCTATGCCCTTGTTACTCTCTGGATAGTCCTGTGGGGGAGACTGTTTTAGAAAAGATCAAACAGCAGAAACTCAATATTTAAAGTTCTTTAGGTGATGATAATAGGTGTTAGATGAGAGCAAAGAGTTGGAAGTTACGGGCTTGCAGCTAAGGAGCCTGTGTTGTGCTTGTGGATATGGCTCACCTCCCTGTGAACCAGTTATACCTCAGAATTCATAGATGTAAATTCCCTGTAATCTGCCTGCCCTTTACAGCTGATGTTTTATGATTGGCTCAGTAGATCTGATTAATCACCTTTACTCTTGTCTTGCCAGCATGCATAGGAGCATGAGCCAGGCTGGTAACAGGACTGAAATCAGAAGGAAGTGATGGGCCCTGTGGAGATGGAGCATATATCCCCTAGCCAAATTTTGGCCTAGCAAAAGATATCTAGCTGAATTTGGCAAGTCAACCAATTTCTCATCTTTGGGGAATAGAGGGTTCTGTATAAGAAAGTATTCTTCATAGGATTTGGATGTTTTTACAGCCAAATTCTGTTGTTGTAAATAAAGTTTTATTCCAAAGTAATTCTCACTTGTTTACATATTGTGCTGTAAGAGTAGAGTTGAATAGTTGCCAAAGAGATCAGGATTGAGTAATTGCAATGTGACCATATGGCCCACAAAGCTACCATATATACCACCTGGTCTTTTTCACAAAAGTTTGCCATCTCCACTTTTACTTCATGAAAGAAAGGGGATAGTAATCATAACCTCTGTACTCATAATAATCTCAGCCCGTTATGTAAATTTATGTTAATGTCTCTGCCCATCCATCAATCCATCCATCCGCTTAGAGTGCTATTGTATTTTAGGTATAAAATGATCATCAGAGAAGATTCTTGCCAGTATGAGTTAATGAGGTTTCTATGACTTTGTATTCCATTGTAGGATTGTGTTTTTTTTGTGAATAAAAATAAAAGTATAATATGGAAATAGAATTAGCAGTTCCTACATTTAATACTATCTTTATGTTTCAGCTATCTATATTAGTTTTATAAATTAGGTAAACGTTTATTCTTCATAATTTCATGGTTACTTCCGTAATGAGGAGCCTGTGGTGTGACATATATATCAATTATAGTTGTACAAGTTTCAATTATTTACATTTGGCAATTCCAACCTGTTTGAGGGCATTTTTGTTTGGAGAAGGGCTGAGGAGCTTTTAAACTGCCTTATCAAAGCAAGCCAAGTAGACCTATAATCTTATGGTACTATAGTAATAAATAATAAATGTCAACAGAAAGAACAACAAACCAGGGTAGTAAAGTTTGGAATGTGGTATAACAAACACATCCATCTCTGTTAGTGTGCTTATCTGTTTTCTTACTCTAGGTCATAAAATACTCTTTCTGCTTAACAGGAGTTCACAGAAGGCATTTTAATGAACATAGAAAACATAGAAACATTTTTTACATTTCTCTGACAAATTAGTTCTTAAATATCTTTTTGACCCAGTTATCACTTTTGTATGTGTTCATATATGTTTCGTGGGTGAACACTTTGGGTGAGTGACTGTTTCTCACCCCAAGACTTCTGTCCAACCACCAACAGAAAGCATAATCAGATTGTATTAGTGAGCCATCATTAGTCACAGAAGCTGTCTTCTTTAGCCCAAGAGGTCTTTTAGGAAGTAAGATTGGACGTTTAGTTAGATGCTGTAGTTGCAATTATTCAGCTGTGTTCAGTAATTCTAAGCTGTGAAAATGCACGAAGCCCAGTATGCATGTCACTTTAGGAACCATCAAACATAAAATGAAGTGCCATCTGCGGCCTTTTGTGTCAGTGATCTAGATGACCAGTAGTGTCTTCCTCTAAAATCTACGACTCTTGAAGGAAACACAGGAGTGTTAGCTGGTGGAATGAATATTTTAATGAATGTGATTCAAACTCTACAGTGGGTTGTTTTGTTGCCAAACTTCATAAATGAAGTTTAGTGTAGTTAATTTTCTTTAGGAGGAAGAAATGATTTGTGTCTGCTGTGGTTCAGATAAGGATTATCCCCCAAAGGTTTACATGCTAGGAACTTGGTCCTCAGTACGACAGTTGAGAGGTGTGGGACCTCTAAGAGTGGAGCCTAGTGTATGATTAGGTCAGTAGGGTATAGTCCTCAGAAGGGGTTAATGTAGTTCTTAAGCTCCTGCTGTTAATTCCATGGGTTGTTGGTGGGAGCGTGGCTCCTGAATCCCTCTTTTACATGTGCCATTTACCACTTTTGCATGTGCCCTCACCATTGTAATGTGATCTTTCATGAGGCCCTGGCGAGAGCTGAGCACATGTTGGTGCCATGCTCTTGAATCATGCTTTTGAAACTCAGAACTATGAGCTAAATAAATCTCTTTTCTTTACAAATCACCCACTATCAGATATTTCATTATAGCAATAGGAGACAGACTAAGACATTGTGTATTCACATTATTTTGCATTTAAAATGTCTAAAAATTTCAATCCATTTCTTTTTCAGTGCTTGGGATTGAATCCACATTTTATGCATGTAGGCAGGTGTTCTGCCTCTGAGCTATACCTTGTCCCCATTTTAATAAGTATTTATAGTGGATTAAATACTGTGCAGAGGAAAGCTTGATAGTTGAGAAGACCAAGAGAAAATAAGGATCACAGTTACTTTTCCGTACAAAGCTAGAAACTGCAGGCTTAAGTCTTTTGGTGAAAAATAACTTTTCTGAAGCAGATTTGATGATAAGCGAAGTCATTTGTGCTCTGGCATTAG